GTGGATTTGGCCCCTGTGGACATTGGTGGCCCCAGTCAGGAGTTCGGCATCGACATCGGGCCCGTGTGCTTCTTGTAAACTTCCTGAGACTGTTGGACTGACAGCTGACACGGTCAGAGTACTGAGGACTCTTCTGGCCCTGTGGCAGGATATTTATTGTGCCTTTCACCCACACCAAGACATCCAAGATTTCTAATTTTGTATGAATGTTTGTAAGAAAAATAATTGGTAAAAAAAGAAAAACCTAAATCCTTCCTTTGTCGTCTCGTGTTTGTTTGCTCAAAGCTTCATGCAGCAAATTTCACTCCACAAATTGGACACAAAGTAACTGAGAGCTGCTGTTCATAAGCCTGGAAATGTTGCTGCATGTCCCGCTCTCATTGCTTTTATTATTATTGTTGCTATTGTTTTTAATGAGAACTCTGTCTTTATGTTTGAATTGAACACATTGTGGTGCTACAGAGGGGAAGGCAGCCCCGGATGATGAGTTCCCCGGAGAGCCGCCGCCACACGGCCAGGCGGGGAATCGGATCGCTCCGAGTTAGCTACCTCGCCACCGACGCTCAGAAACCAGAAACCCACGTGTAAATCTGTCCTCCCAGGTGCTGTTTTCCAAGTGATCTCTTCTCCCGGTGCAGAGCTGCTTGGGCTGTAAATAAAGATGATGGAGGGACGAGTGAGGTGCTGTGTGGTGACTTTTGACCCAAACAAACGGTACAGCAGCAGGTAGCGCAAATATCACCATCCAACGCACGCCAGCTCCCGGTTTGCCGTATTCTGGACTTATAATGATGCTCTAGAAATCCTTCTTATATTCAGTTTTTTAGAATAACTGGCTGTCTGCTTTGTACTTTTTGCTTTGCAACAAATTAAACTGAATGCTTCTTAATCGCCCAAGTTTTTGTCAAATTAATGAAAGTCCTGTCAGGCTGGAGGCGGCGCTAACGTGAACCGTTTTTTGTTTATAGGATCTTCTGTCACCATTTCAGTCAACAGCATTTATTATGCAAACATGTGAATGATTCAAACTCCAAAACACACAAACATAATAAAACAAACGCAAAAGAAAGCAGGAAATAGAAGCTGTAAACTGTGATGTCCTCCAAACCACCAGGGGGCGTCGAGCGCCAAATCATCTGGGAACAGACCTTCAAGAAAGACGGGATGAACAGAAGAAAGTTTGAGGAACAAAGAAAGAGAATGTGTGCTAATCGTTGAGCAGCATTTTTACATGGCTATTATTACCGACTCCAGACTCCCCCTAGTGGTCAGGAGGACTTTCGCTTAGTAAAGTGAGTTTGCAGTGTTTTATGCTTCCTGTTTCTGCGATTTGCAGCAGTTTCTCTCCCGCTTCTGTTTTCTGTGACAGCAGCATTTTTAATGTTGCATTTGTTTTTTTGTGTTTATGTAAAGCCAGGTGATAATTCAGTTTGACAGATTAATCAAATTTTCTGGTTCTGAAGATTTAATTTTTGGATTTTTTTTTCACCAATGCACTTTTGGGCTTCCATAATTGAGAGTAATGTTTGCGAACCTAAGAACTACCATCTTGTTTGATAATCATTTTCTTTTTTCTTTTTCAACTTTGAATTCAGGTCAACTCACAGAAGGAACGGTTGAAATAAAAAACGTTTTTAAAACATTTTCTGTCATTTGTAATTTTTTCCAAGGAAGAAATTAAAAATTGTGCATCGGATTTGGTCTAAAAAGTTGGAGATTATGTTTATGCATTTGGAGTTTGCATCATTCATGTGTTTGATGCATATTTGCACCTTTTGGCCACCGTGGAAAAGAAGAGGAAGTTTTTCATTCAGGAAGTGGAAAAGTTTGGATGTTTATAAATAAACCTGTCACAATAACAACTTTTTCTGGATAAACTGTTCCAGAAACTATTGCAGTAAACAAAAATATTATTTTCAGACAATTTTCAACTGATAGTAAGAGTATATGGCATTAATGCAAACAGATCCTCGCAAAGATAAAAAGACAAATTTAATTTCTAAAGAACATTCAACACTGGAAAAAAACATTAAATATCCAAACTTTCGTTAAAAAAAATCGATAATTGATCGTGTGATTAACTGATTAGTTGTTTTTTTCTGCTGATAAGAAGAGGTGGCAGTTTTCAAATCTCATTTATTAGTTTAAATTTACAACGGCTTGCAAAATTATTCACAACACTTTATATTTTTACACATTTTGTCACATTGAAGAGTAACATTTTTGGATTTTATGTGACAGATCAACAGTGGTGTTAAACTGTGTGGTGGAGGGAGGATAATGGATGCTCTCTGTGCCTTTCGGACAGGAAATGAGGGAAAACCTGCAGCAAACGCCCCAGAGGTCGGAGTTCAACCTACAGACTGCTGAGCCGCGTCTGTATTCAGCCCCTTTACTGCGATACCTACAAACAAAATCCTCTGCAACCAGCTGCTCTCAAAGAAGAACCAACCCCTGTGAAAACTTAGCCCCGCCCCCAAACAAATGTTGAAAAATTAGAAAGTGGGCGGAGCCAAAATACACGGAGGGGCGTGGCTAAGCTTGGGAATGAGTGGAGGACATCAAGGGGTTAATGATCCGGACAAAGGAAAAGTTTGATGTCAACTTAGAAAATATGTTGCTTTATATTCATACTAACAACTAAATAAAAACAAGTAGTGACAAATTTTGAAGTGTTCTTCAAAAAAGTGACACGTCTGATTATTTTGTCAAAAAAGTAAGTAGAAACAAATTTAATGACTTTGTTTAAAATAAGTGATTAGCAACAAATCAAGTTCTTCACCAAGCAACTAGCGACAAATCTAGTTAATTTTTGTCAAAGCAGAAACGAGAAACACGTCTAGCAACTTTAAAAGAACAATAAGCTACTAGTAATAAATCTAACGCTTTTTTATTTGTTTCTGGAGACTTTAATGGCAACAAAAAGTCAACAATGTAAATAAATCTGAAATTTGCAAAGCTGAGAAACGCTATCAGTCAATGCTAGCTAGTCCACCTCCTGACTCGCCACCAGGGGGCGCGCCTGAGTGAGATGCTTTAATGCTGAGCAACGTAAACACCAACGAAGCTGGACTAGAACCAATAAGAAAATCGCATGCAGTACCACCATTCACCCCAATGAGGGCAGCACCTCTTTGGCACAATTTAGACATTTTATTAAAAAAAAAAAAGTTGATTTAGGGTTTAGTTACATTTTAAACATCATCCAATCAGCAAACAGAGTTTCTGTGAACAATCATGAGGAAACAGCTTCACTTTTGTCTTTGGTTTTGAAGGTTTTTATTAGATTTAGTTGTATTTTTTACTGATAAAACTTATGTTTTTTTGGCAAAGCCCATCAAACTAAAAATAAAGCGTAGCATCATCCAACAGGAGTGGTTTCATAAAGAGGGGCAGAAAAAAGAGAAACGATGCTGGATCTCTACTGAAGGGATTACGTTTATGAGTTTAACCCTAACCCTTCCAGTTAAACCAAAACTGGAAACAATGTGTCTCAGTCATTCTAGTTTATGTATGGTAACTTTTTTTCCAAGTTAAAGACACGTTTAGTAAAGAATAAAGGCAGTAAATAAAGATGAAAGAAAGAGTTTGAATGCTGATAATCCATCCTGTGTGAAGCAGAGTCCTTAACTTATTTTAAAGTTTGTCACATAATTAATCTGTTCTTCATGATTAGTGATTTAAGAGCCATTAAAAATGAAAAACATATTTTGAGTTCAATGTTGTTAAATTTGAAGTTGTGCTGCCCTCTAGTGGAGGGATGAATGAATTCAACTTCAGAGAGTTTTTATTTGACAGATTCTCGCCGTTTTTATTAACATGAAATAAGAAAAGTTCAATTTAACAGGAAACAAATGAAGCTAACTGATTTTTTTATTGAGACTATATTTGTTTTTTTAATGATTCATTGTCTGCAGTTTGTCTTCTCTTTCAGCAGCACATAAAAAGTGAGATACAAAATTAAATAAATACATGCATAAATAAATCATTAACTAAACAAACCATGAAACAAATATTTACATAATTTAATAACAATTCACTTATGTATGTCTGTTTTATTGTAGCTGATGCAGAAAACAAATAAAATGTGTATTTAGTGATTTCATGACATCCAGTGAAGACAAATCGATCCCAGATAAGACGCTGCAGATCAGGTGATGACACTCCAATACAGCAGATGGCGATATTAGAAATCTACTGAAACTTTTCGTTGTTTTCCAAAACATTCAGTCATGTTTCTGTTTTTATCGACCATGTTGACGATAATCTGCTCAGATCAAAATTTCTCCTACAAACTCAGAGGAAAGTTAGTGATCCATCACAAGAGCGGCCACCAAAGAAAGAGGTTAGCAGAGTTCATCGATAGAGGATTAAATTTATACTGTAACCGCTCCGCCCCTAAGCCCCGCCCACAGCCCCGCCCACTGACGGGTGTTGGACAAACTAAATCATTTCATGAGTTCACTTAATCACTTTTTTTCTTTTTTGTTTTTCATACCTACCCATTTTCTGAAAGGAACCTTTGTGTTTGTGAGTTTTGTACATTTCTGGTAAGTCCGTTAATCCTTTAAGGAGAAATTTCAGTTTCAAAAGTAAAAAATTTGCTAGAAAAAATGTAGACAATTTAAGATTAATTTCAGAAATGTTCGAGAAAAGATTTGGAATTTCTCAGTTTCAAAAATAAAAAAGTGTTTCAAAAATGTTCAAAAAAAATTCAAACTCAGAAATGTATTTTTTTTCTAGACAATTTCTGAATGTGATCTCAAAATTTACAATTTCCCCCCGCCAGAAAATCTTTTGACTTTTCAATCGCAGAAAATTTTATTTTTTTTCTTGACGATTTTCTAAATTAATCTCAAATTTTTGGCAGAAATTTATTCAGTTTTTCTACCTACATAATTATTATTATAACAAAAAAACAGATCTAAATGTACTTAATCAGCAAAACTGACTTAATTCAGATGTGAAACACAGAAGCAGTGTTGGGTTTTATTTTTTCCTCGGTCACGTGGTGTCGCATCCTTGCAGTGGGCAGACTGGCGTATCTTTACTGGGTTACGGAACCGCGGAGCAGTCGGGCTGGTTCCGCGCATAGCCGCGGGATACATCGGCTCTTTCCGCCTCTGCAGCCGGACGGCTGCGCTGCCACGGCGCAGGTAGGTTTCCGCTGCTGTGGAAATTATCCCGAGTGGGTGGCTGCAGCAAAAACACGCATGTTGCGTGTAAATAGCAGCTGCACATTACAGCGCTGATTGTGCAGCTTTACAGCAGCGTGGTGTGTTCAGGTACCGTCAGGAGAGTCGGAGGCTGCCGTTTCCCTGGTTAGTGTTGATGTGCTGCAGCTGGGTGATGCAGCGGGAAATGCATCGCAGCAGCGGAGGATCTGCAGGACAGGGAGCCTGTTGGAGAGGCACTCAGTGAATCATGACTCAGCAAACACCGAGATCCGCTCCAGCACGACAGGCGGGCGCTTCAAACCTGCGATTAGATTTAATATAAATACAATATTTTACTGTGAAAAGGAACTATAGTAAGGATGTGCTGCTTGTAAAGCTACACAGTAAAAATTAACAGCGATAATTTGGGGTTTTCAGCCTGTCATAAGAGAAAAAGTTATTTTTAGCATCAATTTATATAAAGGTCAGATTTAAACGAAATATTTTATTATCTAGCTCAATATTTAATTAGCAAGCTAAATATTTAGTTTGAAGCTAATTATTTTTGTTTATTTGTAGAACAGATCTTAACTAAGTATTAGCCAGCTAAACATGTAGCCTGTTAACTAAATACTAATGAATCAAGCTTAAATATTTAGTTTCAAATAAAATATTTAGTTAACAAACCAATTGTTTACTTAAATGTCTAGTTATTAAGCTAAGCACGAAATGTTCAGTTAGCAAGCTATTTACTTTGAGGCTAAACATTTTGTAAGCCAGATATTTAGTTTCAAACAAACAAAATAATGTTTGTAAAATGTTTAGCTTGCTAGCTAAATGCTTTGTTAGCAAGCTAACTATTTAATTTCAAATTAACTATTTAGTTAGCAAGTAAAAAATTTCATTTGAAGCTAAACTAAATTTACTTACAAAACTAAACATTTAATTTGATGCTAAATATTTTGTCTGTATACAAAATATTTACATAGCTAGCTGAGTATTTAGCTTCAAACTAAATGCTTAGCTTCAAACTTGTTTAGTTTGCTAAATATTAAGTTTGTTTTCACATTGGCTAAATACTGCTGCTAACTTCCTGGTGAGTATTTTGTTTCAAAGAGGAACCAGAGCCGTCTTCTGTCTGAAATCAGTTAAAGTCTGTCAGGTTGATTTTGTACAAATGAATTCTGAGTCTGCTGATAGTTTCAGGTTCAGACTCTGGATTTAATGTATATAGATTTTAATTTTGTTGTAGCCATTTTGGGAGAATGGAGCATTTAATTTGTCGGATTAACTCCAGTAAAGTCACAATCTTCCACTCTCTGTTTGCTGTGCATGAAAAACCTGTCAGTTTGTGAGTGTGGGCTGTGAAACTCTGCAAGATGTCTCTGCAACAATGCCAAGTCCAATTGTGTTAAAAAAAATCCCAAATCACAGGATTTGATCATTTACAACAACCCATCTGTACAACCAAGAGCTTTTCTTCAAGGTTTATTAAAACGGTACATTTGTTGCCTAAAGTAACCGATATGTTTTCCCACAGTGGATGTTTTATTTATAAATTATGCAGCTGCTTTGTTTGCTGATTTTATTCCCAGTCAGTACCCAAAGGAACTAAAGGAGAAGCTGGGAGAGAGGAAATGGAAGGACATCGTGTAATGAAGGCAATGAAGCTAGCTTTGGTTTTTAGTGCTAACAGTGGAGCACGTCAGCCATGCCTTTCAGAGCTGAAGCTGTTAGCCACCTGTCATTGCTAATGGTCAAGCTCTGTTAGCTGCCTTTCAATGCTAAAGTTGAAGCTCTAGTAGCTGTCGTTTTGTGCCTTGATAGCAAAGCTATGTTAGCCGCCTTACAGCGCTAACGGCAAAACTCTGCTGGCTGCCTTTCAGTGCTAACAGTGAAGCTGTATTAGCCACCTTTCAGTGCTAAAGACAAAGCTATGTTAGCAGCTTTTCAGTGCTAAAGGTGAAGCTGATTAACTTCCTTTTTAGCTCTAACTCTGTTGGCTTTATTTTGATACCAACGGTTCATCTTTCCATCTGAGGTCGTTGCCCACAGGTTTTATTTTCCTGTCTAGCCTCTGTTTTGGTATTTATCATTCACCTTTTGACCACACTGTGTGCTAACAGAGTATTACTCCAGCTTCATGTATCACCGTCTCCTTCAGTCGTTTAAAGCTGATCCATTCAAAGCTATCTCATTACACAGACATTTGATATTATCATTGTAGTAAATAGTATGGAGCTGTCTGAGCAGAAGCTGAGCCAGCGTTTGTCTGTCAGTAGCTTCATGTGGTTCAAATTGTGCAAAAATAAAAAAAAATCTCCTATAAGGAGACTATAGATTCAAGTTATTAAATCAGTTAATACAAAAATGAATCAGTTAATCTTAAAATGATGACACATACAATAGGGAAATGCTATGTTGTTGCATTTTATGCAATAAAATGTTTATTTTCTTATTAAAAAATGAATTTGTTTATTTACATCTTAGTGTATTTGAGATATTATAAAATAGGCTTAAGTGGTTAAATGAAAATCTGTAGAATGGGACAACTTTTATCCAATTGTTTGATTACTAAAATACTCACTAGCTGCCGCTCTAGATAGACTCATATTTTATATATCAAAAGCAGTTTCCTCAGCTTTAATTTCAGCCATATTTTATAGAAATTGGAGAAGAAATAAATGAGCTAAGACTAACTGTCACGGATAATTTTGTTGACATGACTCAATGCCTAGCTACAGCAGCTAACAGGCGTCACCAGCTATAGCAACTAATAGCTGTCCCTAGCTATAGCGGCTAATAGGCGTCACCAGCTATAGCAACTAATAGCTGTCCCTAGCTATAGCGGCTAATAGGCGTCACCAGCTATAGCAACTAATAGCTATCCCTAGCTATTGCGGCTAACAGGCATCACTAGCTATAGCAGCTAACAGTTGCTGTCCTATCCAGTGATAAATACTGATGGTGTTTATCTTTCTAACAGGTGAAAGTGATAACTCAAAGGTTGATGTGTCTCGTTTTGTCTTTCCCCTTCAGGTTATGCCACCCCAAAGGATTACTGGACCCCCTGCGGTGAAAGAGAAGGGCTGATCCCGTCCTTCTCCAGGTTCCCTCAGTTTCCCGCCCGATCCGTTCCCTCCTCTCCCCATGGCGATAACCGTACCTCCCCTTCAGTCCTAACCCCGTTAAACTCTTCCATCAACAGGTTCCTGCCCGTTAGCTCCTCTAAATTAGCCTTCGGCCGTGTTAGCTAGCCTGCGAGTCGAGACTCTTCCTGTTGGCTGCTGGTTTGGACTCATGGCTACTGGAGGCCATGATGTTCTGGCTAACCTACAACAGGTAGGAATTCCTTCAAGTTAATGTGAGTTTTATCTGTTCCAGGCAAGACATTACAGACATAAAGCTTTTGTTTCATTTCTAAAACTGACGTAATGTTGACATTCTGGACAAAACACTTCATTTAAATTAAAAACTTCTTGCTCTATCACTTTATTCTTGTTTTAATATTGCTTTATTCTGGTAATATTACGACTTTAATCTCATATTCTGATTACTTTAATCTCACACTATGATGACTTTATTCTGATAGTAATACGACTTTATTTTCATATTTACTTAATGCTGGGATCCAATCGACGGGCTTCGTTTAAATTTCTTCAGAAACTTTCTAACTTCACGTTGCCTTCCTTTGGCAGTTGGGGGTTTCCAAGGCCACCCGAACCCCCCCCCCCCCCCGTTTTCTGTGGCCGTGGTCTGCACTCGGATCGGCTCTCGGTTTATTTACAAGTATTATATTTTAACATTTTAGACAAATTTAATCACATACAGTGTTTCATGAGTAAATTTGTTTTGCTTTCTGTCTTTAACTTAACATAATTAACGTTGTGCATCTTAGCCACGTTTAATTTTATCACTGTTAGCTGCTGCTAACTGCTTATTGGAAGCTATTAGCTATTAGCTTGTTTATTTATTGTATTTTATTTAATGCAAGGCTTCAGAAGCTGCTGGGTGATGTTAACCACCAACAAAAAAACTTTAAATAATATTAGAATTTATTAATGTATTACGTAAAATAAAACATTCCCCAAAAACTGATGAAAATGCTGATACTACTGAATTGTTTTGAGCAATCCTGAGATTGAATGTGAAAGTACAGAAACGTCTCACACACACACATGCATACACACATGGCAGGACATCTGGGAGGTAAGACCTTTACAGCCTTTTGAATTTAACACACACTTTCCAAAAATGTGTGTGATCCAGAGCCGCTCAGACGGTCTTACAGAGAGACGGGCAGAAAGTGCAGCAAAGAAGAGGCTTTACATCACCAACCAGTGAATCATAATAATAATAATAATATTATAAACAAGCTTCTGTTTTCTTCCATCATCCATGTAAAATCTAAAATCTTTTTGGACTGTGGGAAGAAGCCCAGGCTGGGACTCAAACCCAGCAGCAGTGTCACCACTGAGCCACTGTGAAACCCTGATATTTTGCTCATAAAATGTATTTTTTTATTCACACAGATGGAGAATTTAGAGACCAATTAACAACCAGTCCTGATTTTAGACTGAGGCAGGAAGCCGGAGCGCCCAGAGAGAAACCTGCAAACTGGTAAAATATTTTACCAGTTATAAAAGCTGCCAGTGCTTCACTTTAAACAACAAAAACATAAACAGAAAAATATTATTAATTTTATTTAACTTAAGGTTTCCGTCATGTTTGGCTTATTCAGACATGTGAAATAGTTTTTTCTGGTGGAAAAAGTCATTTTCCATTACATCTGGTAAATTCAGGGTAAATTCAGGGTTGTCCAGTGATGGGTTGGATTTCTGCCCCGGTAGAAACCCGCTGCCCTCCTGCTGCCCCCCGCCTGCGCCGCCCTGCAGCAGGTGGCGCATTAAATGCATCCCATCCCCACGTCCCTCTGGTGATTAGCGGCTAATGGACGCCTCAGAAACCTGAGTCCGCTCAGGGATCAGACTACTTCCTGGGTCAGCACCAATCAGACGCTGAGTCAGCGACTTGTTTGAGGGTTCTGACCAATCAGAAGCTCCGCATGGAGAGGACACACCCCCAGCCCCCCAGGGAAAGAAGAGCATTATTTTCTGTTGCTGCTTAGCACTTCGATGCATTGATTTGTTTTCCCTGCAGCTGCAGTTTTAAAGACGCGGTCTTCTTTCTGTTGTCTGGGAGATTCTCAGATTAAAGGTAGAATATTTCTAAAATATTCAGTAACAAATAAAATTCAATTAGATTAATATATAGAGGCTTTCGAATGTTACATTTGAGGTGAATGGAGTTTACCTGGGCTGTAAATGCAGAGAGAGACAGATTGTTTTCATGCAGAGGAATTTATATTTTATTAAACTAAAACTTCACAAGATGCTCAACTTTATTCTCACATTTTTGCGACTTTATTTTTGTACTTTAAGAATTTAATTCCCCTATTTTTGCGACTTGTGTTACGAGGTTAGCCTAGCGTTAGCATCCATCGTCAGTAAACCAAAAACTGAATTATTCCCTTATCTTTGGGTGTAAATGGAGTTGGAGACTTTAAATGTGTTTTGTGCTGTTTTCCTCCAGGTGAAGGTGGAGGATCAGGATGCAGCTGAGGAGGAGGAGGAGAGCTGGGAGAAGGCTCTGTCTGTGGAGCGCTTCAGAGACGTCATCGGAGATTCGGCGTCCTGCAGCGCCGAGCGGATGGGCCGACTTTACACCGAGAAGGACTTTGAGTGTAAGCCTGGCGGCACAGGTTCATAAACACATTTAGCTTAATGTTGATTCATTTTATGTGCTGCTTTATGGCTAAACTATAACTAACTGGAACTATATGACATATTTATGAAACTAAACCATTAGAGATATTCGCCGTTTATGAATCTATTTATTAGCCTTTTGAACTGAAACAGATTTTATTTTTCCCACTAAAGCAGTTTACATCACATGACGGCTCTACGTAATTTTCCTAGTTCACAAAATGGCAGACTAGCATAAGTCCGCCACTATGCTTATGCTACTAGCAGACATGTCATTAGCATTAGCAATTAGCTTATGCAAACAGACTAATGGCTAGTCTTTTCCTCTTTAGTTAGCCATTAGCTGACGAACAAGCCATTTGTCTATAGAAATAATCGAATATCATTTAATCTTCTGTTAAGTATTCATTACCCAGTCAAAGCTAATAGAAACTAAACAGAGTTTAACTAATAAATGCTAGTAGAAGCTATCAAACACACTGAGAGCTAAAGCTAACTGAATCAGAGCTGTTGTAACGTTTTCCTTCTTCAGATCCAGTTTAGTGTTTTGTTTCGTTGGCAGATCACAGACACACGTTTCTCCACACACACCACCCGTTATCCACCCACCTGCCCACGCCGCAGCGCAAGCGGCCGCACGGCGCCGACCGCAGGCACAGGAAGAAACGCAAGAAAAAAAAAACCTCGTTGCCGCCCTCCGACGTCACGCCCACCATCCAGGAAGTAGACGAGGAAGAGGCGGAGTCTGACGCCGACGGACGCCTGGCGACCGCCACGCCCACCGAGTTCCCCGACATCCAGCCGCAGGTAAAATAAGTCTGAGAAACAAACGTTCCCGCTGAATGAACGGACCTTTCCTCTCTTCTCACTGAGCTTCGTCTTCCTCTCAGTTTAGCTTTGGGAGCCAAGAAGACTTGGAGGAACCGCTACGACTTGCTGCCGTCCACGTGGAAAACGAAGAGCGTTCCAGGAAAACGGCGCTCACGCTGATAAAGGAGGCGGCGAATAACGACAGAACCGAGGAGAAAGATGGAGGACAAGCAGCTTCCCAAAGGTTCACTGTTCCCTTTAAACCTGAACAGAAGCTACAGTTTGAAAAGTTCACCGTCTCTTTTCCCCCATATCTGATGTTTTTGTATATCCATTTATGTTTCTACTGCTCCTAAAAACAAGCCAAACACTTAAAAAGCCCACCAGCTGTTTTCTGGTGATAAGTTCATGTTCTTCGTCTCTAGAAAACAAGCCGTTTCAAAAATGCCCCGAATGTTAAGTCACTTCCATGCCCCGTTACCTAGCAACCCCAGCTGAGCCCCGTTACCTAGCAACCCCAGCTGAGCCCCGTTACCTAGCAACCCCAGGTCAAGTGATTTTATTTCTGTATGTGCAGGAAAGCAATTAATGATAATACAGAATACAAAATAAAAAAATCTGAAGTACAGAAATAAAATAATTGATAAAATACAAGAATACACTGATAAAATGATAAAATTAAAATAACTGAAAATAAATATAAGATTAAAAAATAAAGGAATAAAATTTTAATTGAATAAAAAATACACATAAAATAATAAGAATGAAATTAAATGTTCATGAATACTAAATATAAAATTAAAAAATAAAGGAATAAAAATGAAATAAATGAATAAAAAGTTAAATGTAATTATTAAAAATGAAAAAGTCCTGAATATAAAATAAAATAATAAAGAAAATGTATTCATAAAATAAATACTAAATATAAAATAATAAATATGAAATTATTTGAAACAAAATAACCAACTTAAAGAATAAAACAATAACAATTAAAAAAGATTTTTTTTGCATTCGAAGGTGGATTTTAGTTTGACACCCGGTTATCTTCTGAACACGGATCATAAAGTCAGAGGAAACGTGACGGAAGGATATTTTCTCCTTCTCTTGTTTTTACATAAAACCATTAGAACCAGTAACTGTTTCCAGTAGGAACCAGTAAGGAGCTCTGGACCCTGAATGTTGCATATTAATTGAGCCGGCTGGGCGCCTGACATGCAGAATATGAATAATTTGTTGATTCTGAATCATGCATGGCGTTTTGCTGCGGGAGGCCCGGGGCTCCATGGTGATTGGGTCGGGCAGAACCGACTCAGGTTTCCATCAGAGCCCCTGCTGGCCATCCTGCACCATTACAATTCACACAGTGTCAACAGAAAACTCTGGTTTAGTCATTTAAAATTAAACAAAGCTGGATTTAGTAGCTAATGGAAACATTTGCTGATTTTTCCTTTTGTTGATCTTATCAGTGCGTCGGAAGCCGTCAGTCCGGCGCCGAGCCGCGGCTGGCTGCGGCGTAAAGCCGTCCACCATCGGCTAATGGCCACCCAGCGCAGCAACTACGACCTGCGGGAGCGGCTCTGCATCGGCAGCATGACCGCCATGGAGGCCGCCGTCTACCAGCAGGTGCCCACCGACGAGGCCGAGGCCCAGATGTTGGTCAGCGCCGACCTGGACGACATGAAAAGTATGATCTGATTTTTATTCTGTTGGTTCATCAAGTTATATGAAGTTAAGTTCAAATCAATCAAATTCTGTTGAATCTTTCTGCCAATATGATCAAATCTGTTTTATTTTATTATAAAAGTTTTTCTAAAGCGCCACAAAATCAGTTTATATTTTATAGTGAAGATCTGGCGCCACCTGCTGGCTGAGTGGAACAAACACTGCTGAGATGAACGGCAGGATTTTATTCTAAAGAATTAAAACTTCACCTTATTTAATGCGAGGTGAATTTATTAAAGCAGAGAAACATAAATAAAAATACAAGTAATCAATAAATGAAATAAAATCTAAAGTCATAAATATTACATAAAAATAAGGAAATAATTAAAGTATTAAAATGAAGTAAATAAATACAAAGCAGGTTCTTAAAACTAAAAATAAAGTACTCAAGGAATAAATGAATAATACGAGTATTAATGCCAAAATTATATTCAGTATAACTTATAAGATTAAATACACTGAAGCCCAAACGTGGTGAATATTTGGTAAAAAATACCACAGAATTTTGCACATTTTTCAAACTTAAGTAAAACTAAACAAAGAGAAAAATCTGACTTTTAGTTGCATTTTAGGTGAAGCTGATGAAGCTCAGCTGCACCTGTTAACATGAAAACTAAATAAGACAAAGTGTCAGTTTCATCTGAATCTTTTAATAGGAGATTTTCTCATAAATCCTTATAATTTCTCCGACATAATTTCCGGAGTGTTTTTCTCCAGAGGAGCTATCTGCAGTGGAAGCGCTAACGAGTTCCTGTGTGTGGAGAGAAAAGCAGGTTTCAGAGTCAGGAGGCGTTAATTAACTGGCGGTGGAGTCGATTCCCCTTCAGCGGCGACCCTGCCTCTGGCGGTTCCTGCATCAACCAGAGCGGAGCGGCCATCGATGGCTCAGAGCCATCTGCCCTGAAAGCTGCAGCGCGTCGCATGCAGGCTGCAGGCTAGCAGCTGCTCTGCAAAAACACGGAACAGGAAGACGGACTGATATTTCATATTTAGTTACTTTCAGACTTTAGCTTCCTGTGTTCCTTTTTTTGAACACTAAAGGCCTGGAATGAAACCAACCTGGCAACACACAGGCTAACAGTAGTAGCTATGCTAACAGTTAATGTTTATTGAACGGATCCTCGACTAGCTAAACACATTTGACTAAAATGTTTTCATTTTCTCATAACCTAAAAATATTAGGTTATTGACTTGTGATCAACTGTTATGATTAGCTAAAGCTAACACCATCAGTAGGAGCTAATGCTGTTAGCTACAACTGCAGGATTAGCTAGAGTTAATGCCAGTAGCATGAGCTAACACCGCTAATTATCAATGAGATTATTTGCACAGCATATTCCAGCAACAGGATAGTGCTTTGCTTCATAAAGTTAGTTAACGACATTAGCTGTAGCTAAACCAGTAGCAGGTGCTAATGCCATTAGCAAGAGCTAATGCTATTAGCTAGGCAAAGTCAAAACAAATTGGGAGGTAATAAATGGATGCATGTAGCATCTTTACGTCTTTTGTAACAAATGTTTCTTACAAACTAGAGAAAATGTTTTTATCCTGATGCTAACTGCTAACAGCTGAGTTAGAAGCCCACCGACTCGCTCCTCTTCATCAGTTTGGTTCTCCTCTTCTTCATCACCTCTTGTCTTTTGTGCATCTCTTTAACTTCAACGCGTTTGGTTCAGATCTAACGTTACTCAGTGAGCCTGCTAGCTTAGCAGCTTCGTCCAGGAGACATTTTTACTGCCGGTTCTACATCTGAAATAAACTTTTCTCAAATAAAGACATCAATCAATCAATCAATCAAGTCTATTTGTACATGTTGTCAATGAGGGAGCTCAAATGCTTTATGTCATCAAAGCAGAAGAAATAAAACGACAACAGAGAACATTTTTTTTCTCCATATTCATTTGGAGAATGAATACGAGCATCAATAAGTTGATAAGCATCAACTTATTGATGCTTATCAATAAGTCGGTCAATGTTTCATCTGTTGTCCAAAGTCGACGGCGTCAAACTGAAGGAGGGAAACTTTCAGCTTGAAGACTTTCTGAATGAAAGCTTGTGGTTTTCAGTGAGGGCGGCGTGTCAGAAGCTGTTTTGGAAAGAGGAGCAGCGGAATAGAGGTCGTTCCGCGTCCTGCCCTGATCCGCTCCCCCCGTTCTGAATCCGTCGATAAGAGGGCGGCGCCACCGCGGCATCAATACCTCCGTTTCCATCCTGCAGCCTCAGATTGGCCTCCGCGCTGCCAGCAGGCCGCAGGTTCTGGTTTCTGTGCCCTCGCAGCGTGTCGGCTCGGTTCGCGGTCCGGATCGCTGGATGATCAGAGCGACCGGCAGCGGAGAGGCGGCCGGCAGGCGGATCGCGCGCTGGAGATGACAGACGTTGAGGGACGGGCGAGCCGCGGCATCGGCCCTTCTGACGCGCAGCATGAGCGGCGCTGCAGCGTGCTGCGCGGCCTCGGCGCCGCCGCGCAGCACTACGAGCGCCAGGGCTCCTTCTCCCTGGCAGACGGCTTCGAGGACTTTGAGGAGTTTGTTCTGGACTTTGACGACTACGACCTGCTGGAGTCGATCCACAGCCACCTGGAGGCGCCGCAGGAACCGAGCCGTGAGTCCAAACCGCCGAGCTTCCCTTCATTAGGAGGGAAAACATCCAGAACCAGCAGGAACCGGTGGGGCATCTTCACTGTGGACGAGATTCCCACTTAAATAGCTTCAGTTCAGCCTCACTGGAGGGTTTTGCAGCAGAATCTCCCTGACTTTGACTAGGACACTCCAAAACCTTAACTTAGTTTTTTGAGTTATTCAGAAATTGGCTGACTGGTGAGTTAAGGATCATTTACAGTTTCTGGTCCCAGCAAATGGTGAGATATTCTCCTTCCATATCTTCTGCTAGAGAGGCCCACATCACCATACTGCCACCACCGAGGTTGGCAGGAAAACTCGTTACGTCTGTGGTTTCCATCAAGCAGGAACCAAGTTAATAACGGAGGAGCTGAAGGAAAGGATGACGGAAACACCTGGAAAGTGTGGTGTGTCGTTCATCCAGTCTGTTGCCCCTAAATGAAATCATCTTTACAGGTCACCTAATTAGATGCAACATCTGAACAAGATCCCAAATTAGAAACTTTTTCTTCTAAACAAGATAAAAAAAACTTGATAATTTGAAAACAGAATGAGGAGCAAAAATAGTCGAACTGAAATGCAAAGCTTGTCAAAAAAAGAGATAAAATAAAGAGATGAATAAAATAAAACTAGATGTGAATCTGTGAAGTTTTGGGTTTTTTCCGTTTCATTCAGGTCGTTTTGTCGATCCGGGTCAGCAGCGGTTCTGGCTTTCACTCTCTGCCATGAATGCGGCCATTTTCCTCCTCCTGAATCCTGAATGACCTCTGACCCTTACCGATTCAGCGAGTGTAATCTGCTGTCTGTAGTTTTAGCTCTCGTGTTACTGGGAACTATTACATCACTGTCCTGGAGTTCTGGTGCATTCTGGGATATTTTTACACGACCGATCGATGAGCAGGAAGTGACTTTCCATGATGGGTTTGGATCTCACGAGGCGCGCTGCAGAATCGAGTCGGGACTTCCTGCCTGGCATCGATCGGCGGCTCCCATCGGGTCAGCGGCAGCCGAGCGGAAACATCTCATTGACTAACGCAGCGGTTCTGACCCACAGAACATCACATCGGGTCCGCACTGTTAAACAGAAACGGGAAGTAAAACGGAGCCATCTTTAAACATCGAGGGAAACCAGATGATCAGTAAACATGATGAGTTCATGCGCAGCGGTAGAACAGAGAGGATCTCTGAGCTTCGGGTTTCAATAAAAAGCTTGTCTGTTCAGGTGGCGTCCCCACAGCCCACTTCCTGTTAAAGTCAACATGTTAGCTGAGATTATAACAACTAACACACAGATCTCATGTGATGTCACACTTCCATGAACGGCTGGCAGCCATCTTGGTAGGCAGTTGCTATGACAACAGTAAGCAAGCCACAAGCTCTGAACCAGCTCTCCTCTCCTTCCTGTCCAACTTACAAACAAGAACATTACAACTATTAACTGATGACAGTTTTTAGTTCTCTGCTCACCTCTGTGTAGTACCAAGTACCAGGTACCAGTACTGTCAGTAGTAAGTGTCGGTGCTAAGTACCAGTACTAAGTACCAATGATGTTTACTGTCGGACTTACTGCCAAAGTACCAGAATTAGCTTTGCTAACGTAGCTTTTCTCTGCTAGCTAACGTAGCAGCTACATGTTTGTCGCTGCCTGGACTCTTTCTGTCAGTCAGCAGAACTTCGATATTCACAGGAGACGTTTGTACTTTTATGAATCCATTCTGCCTGCTAAGATGCTGCAGATCACTTCCTGTTCAGGCTGGTGGGAACATTGATGAGGTTAATCTTTACTGAAGTGATCTATGATGAGCAGCTCTACGTCACAGCGCCACCAGGCGACTCAGAACCTTTTCAAACACCAAGACGATTAAAACGAGACGTGTGGAAGTGACATAGCTAATGAAAAACAAAACCTGAAGTAATCAAAGAGGAACGATCTGGAGTCATAGATCTGGAGACGTAGATCCGAGTGGCGCAGATCCGGAGTCGCAGATCCGGAGTCAGTGCACAGCTTCAGTTCTTCCAGCTGGAAGCTGGAGACCAGGCTGACCTCTGACCCCTGCCTCCCACTGTGGGCCGCCTAGCAGCAGAACGTTTCAGGACTAAAGTCTCCGATCAGAGAAACTCGTCCAGCGTTTCTCTCTGGTGGCTTTTTTACACTTTGAAATATTTGTGTTGTAAATCGGTTTAAAGGTCTGCTGCAGTTGGACCTTCAGCGCTGCTTCTGATTAATAACTGGAATATTATTGATCCTAGTCAATAATATTTGTTTCTTGTTGATTTATCATGTAAGTCACTTTGAATTTTAACTTGCTTTATTTTTTAACGATTTTTCTGTAAACTGGAATATTGTCGTTGCTATTATGAGGTCCAGCCAAACAGATGTTTATTCCAAACATCTTAAGGGTAAACCAACATATCTGCATTTTCTACTCAAATAAATCCTGCAACTGCATTGGAGGATGTTTAAAGAAGTTAAATTTGTCTATATTTTACAGAACATGGTTTCAGTTTTTCTCAGAAGTGTTCGACTCTCTGCTAGTCTCTGTTTTAAAAACAAAGTTGCTCACTTCTCTAGGTTTGTCGCTGGTTGATTATTTGTAAAAGCAAAAAATGTCCCTGAGTTTGTCACTAATCAGCTTTTTGTAAATCTGTGGCTCGTTGCTCTGTGGGTGGATTGTTGTTTCACGTTGAGCACGCTGCGTCTTTTTGCCGCTCTGACTTCGTTTGGGTTTTCAGGCCACAGGTTTGAGGACAACCCCGGCGTTCGGCGCCACCTGGTGAAGAAATCCTCACGTTGCCAGATGTCGCGGTCCAGCATGAGCTCCACGCCGCTGTCCAGTCTGAAGAAGAAGAAGCGAGCGGCGGATAAGAAGACGCACGAGGTCCGCGGCCTTTCGGGGCAGCTCTGACGCGTTTTCGCATCTCTACGGCGTTTAAAAGTGGATGTTTCTGCTCCGCAGCTGTTTGTGGAGCTCAACGAGCTCATCGTGGACAAAGACCAGGAGATGCGCTGGAAGGAGCGAGCGCGTTGGATCAAGTTTGAGGAGGACGTGGAGGAGGAAACGGACCGCTGGGGAAAACCTCATGTGGCGTCGCTGTCGTTCCGCAGCCTGCTGGAGCTTCGCCGCACCATCACACACGGTAAACCGCTGCTTCCTGCTCCGGGTGGTGCTCACCGGTTCCAACACTGGTTCCTGTCTGTTTTCCAGGCGCTGTCCTTCTGGACCTGGAGCAGAACACTCTGCCCGGCATCGCCCACCTGGTGGTGGAAACCATGATCATCTCGGATCAGATCAGAGCGGAGGACCGGCCCGGCGTTCTGCGAGCGCTGCTTCTCAAACACAGGTCAGCCGGCCGGCCGGTTCTACGCGTTGCAGAGATCCGCTTTCAAATATTTAAACATTTATCATAAACATTAGTTCTGCTAAAGCGCTATGTCAACGTGGCGTTTAGCTGGAGCTAATGCTAAATTGCTAACTTAAGCCATGTGTCAGAGACTCGTGTTAGAACGTGGTATGTCGCCCTCCACAGGGTAAAATGTGTCACTGCTCACCTTCTTGTACAGTTTGTGCTTCAGGAAACGGGAAACAGTGGAAGCTAATTTTTTTTCAAAGTTAGCAAAACACGCTAAAGCGCTAAACCAAGAGCTAACAGATTCAGACCTGGAGACACTTCTGCATCCTTTCATCACTTCACTGCTGAGAACCAAGTCATTTATTTTAAAGCTAGCGAAAGGCTTTTCCTTTCACCAGCTGGACGTCTGATCCTAAATATTTACCTGGTTCTTCCTCTAGTAAAAAGTCAAACTCTCCTCCAAAAGCAGAAGCGACTAACACATCATGAGGTGATGGCGCTGATTTAGATCCAATTAATTTGTCCGAAGCTTTCTCCACTGATCCAACTTATTGATCGGTGAGTCCTGAACTGAGCTGATCAATGAATCGATCCGTTCTTACCTAACAGAGCACAGTTACTCTGCGACACTGGAGGAAACCAACTGTTGGCGCTAATCCACATGTTGCTCATTTTGAAAACATTCGGAGCAGTTAGCTTCCCCTAACATTGATTTAGGGGAAGCTAACTGCTTCCCCTAAATCAATGTTCCCAGATACGTTTTAATTTACTTTAATGTTCTGTAAACCTTCAGCTGAATAAAGTTCAACATCTAAAATAAAACATGGACAGTAGACTTAGCTTTAGCTTCCGCTAACTACTGCATTGATATAGCAGCTTAGCATTAGCTTGTGGTAGATGCCATGTTTATATTGTGATTTAGCATTAGCTCCTGCTAAGTTCTGTGTTGGCTCCTAAACATTAGCAGAACTAATGTTTCTGATTAGTGCTTTAGGGTTAGCACAGCTAGCTTCTTAACTAACGGTTCCCACTGCTGGAGGTGAAGAACAGGAAGTGACTTCAGGATTCCTTCCAGAGTGAGAAATGAGGACGTCGTCATCCAGAAGCAGCTCTGCTAACCTCAGTCCTGCCGCCATCTTGTTTCTAAAGATTAGAGGCTTTCTCCTTAAACTTGTCCAAGCAGTCAGACTGGTTCATGACCTTTCACCTTTAACCTGCCAGCTGAGGCCTGTGTATGCAGCAGCAGAATGAGCTGGCTGCTTTCAGCACTCGACAGATGGAGCGAAGCAAACCACCAGCTGGTCTTCATGCGCTCATTTCGCCTTCCACGTGAATCCCCGGGGCGTCTCAGGCGGCTGCTCGTTTGGGAAAAACAAACGCCGCTGTTAGAGTCATCGCCGGCCGGAGGGATCAGATTTACGACACGGTCAGAGGCGCGTTTAGGTGCTGCTGAAACCCAGCTCATTTCTCTGAGCGCTTTAACGGCCCCAGAGGGAGCCGCCTGACATCAGCGTGGCTTAGCGCTCCACTTTGCGCTCTTTTGTCTCGGGGCGATGTCACGTCCAATTTCACGGGCGCTCTTACAGGGCCATGTGGACCTCATGATGGCGGTGATGTAACCCGGCGGTGATGTAATGAATCTGCTGAAAAACCCGAGCTAGTGGGAAAAATTCCTGTCCAGGAGGCTGGGATGTGATCGCCACGACACGCACGAAGAGCAACAACGATGAATTTAAAGGCTCTGTTCGGGTCAGGCTGCCCAAGCTGTCCGTCTAAACAAAAACAGTATTATTCATGTTCTCATTTATTTGACAAAAACAATGACATTTATCTCACACAGTAAAAGGCCAAAATTCAGTTCTCTTTGCAGATCCACACCTCCGTAAAAACCGAGAAACGCTTTAGCCAAGTTTGTCCCCTTTTACTGTAAATAAGTCAGATATTCTTAGACGTCGTCGTTTCACATGGATCTAGATGCCGTCTGAAATAAATGGCTCCAAATGAAAATACTTAGTCTGAGATGTTGACATGTTTTGGATCAGAAAGATGATGAATGATGTCGTCATAATAATACAACTGAAGCAACTGGAATTTAGCAGACTGGAGATGCATTCTGGGATTAAATGTGCCAGAATAATTCAGTAGCCTGGAAGGGTTAGCAACCTGCCAAGCTAAAAACAGCACAGCAGAAGTTACGTCTGTTTCAGCATAGCTTCCATTTAACAATAAGTTCTGATTTAGATCAGTTTGTTTAGCATGGCTTCAGTTTTAGCATATATTTTATTCTGTTGTAATTTCAGTTTTAGTACAAGTTAAATGTTTACATGAATTTAATTTTAGAATAAAATTTGTGTTAGCATAACTGGTTTTAGCCTGCGTTATGCTAAAACTGAGGCTAAAACTTAAGCTTTTGTTTTTAGCATCTCTTCCATTTTTTGCATATATTCAGTATGGGCATAACTTCAGTTTTAGCATAAACCCAATTTTAGCAATAATTACATTTATTAACATGCCTTTCATTAGCATGACTTCCATTGTGGCTTTGTTGGCCCCTTTGGGCCACCGTAGAACAAGGATCCAGTCCAGACGTCTTGGCTCTGTCTTAATGAGAGGATGAGGAGAACATCGTCTGAAGGAATTGCTGCTCCTAGAAAGAAACTCAGAAAGTCACTGAACAGTGGAGTTATATTTGCTTTTCTCTGACTTTTCGTCCTGGTTTCTCCGATTCCTCTGCAGCCACCCGAGCGACCTGAAGCACCGCTTCCACCGCCACCAGTCGTCAGGCAGTCTCCACGGCAGCTTCAACCACAACCACGTCCAGGAGACCAGCCTGCCCCTGGTGGCCGAGGAGAACGACGACAAGGGGCCGGTGTACGACCCGAAGCAGGACGTCTTCGTCAGCCTCTTTGTAAGAATTAAAGGGCCGGTACAGTGTGCTCTCTATTCACATTGAGCCATTTTACAGCGCAATCCAGTAACTATGCTAACTTCAGTTGCTATAAAAATGGAATGTAAATCAAATTTAATGTCTTGAAATTAGGGCTGTGTATCCTTAAGAAGCTTCTGCTCTTTCAGGATCTCTACCTTCAGAAAGTCATTACAACATGGCTCCCATGTTAACCCTTTAACCACATTTTTACCAGCGCTGCATATTCCAAAGTTAGCATATTAGCTAACTTTGGAATATGATCTAATCTTATCTTGCACGCTACGGTATTTTATACTGAGTAGAGTAAATCGATGTTTATCAACATGCTAGTGATAGCGTACATGCTAATGGTAGCAGTTACACTAACATTAGCATTTAAGCTAATTTTGATGTAAAATCTCAATTTAACAGACTGAACAGAGTGAATAAATGTTACTCAACATGCTAGTGACAGCATACATGCTCCACCAGGTGTTTGCTAACACCTGGTGTTAGCAAGCACAGTTTGCTAGCACAGTTTGCTAGCACAGTTTGCTAACACAGTTTGCTAACTGCTCCTGGCTAGTCTGAAGGAGCAGCACACCGCTTCCTGCTGATCTGTGAGGCAGAGTCTTATTAGCTTGCAGCTCAGAGGAGGAGTTTCTGGTTTGCATTAGGACTTGAGACGCACCAGTAAACAGGTTTCTGTTCGGTTCTCACGTGTTGGACGTGGCAGTAAAGAGGGAGACCTCTCCGCTGTTCTTCCTTCCTAGAAATCCCTCCACCCTGTGCCTCCGGAGCATCATCCAGCTGCTGCCAGGTCCCTCAAGCTGCTCGCCAAGATTCCCAAAGACGCCGAAGCCGTCATTGTTCTAGTCGGTAAGCGTTTCCACATCGTTATTTTTGAAAGTCCTGCCGGTGACGGAGATAAAGCCGCTCCTCGTTTCTCAGGATCGGTGGAGTTCCTGGAGCAGCCCGCCATGGCCTTTGTCCGGCTGAGCGAGGCCGTCCTCCTGGAGTCTGTGCTGGAGGTTCCCGTCCCGGTCCGGTTTCTCTTCGTCCTGCTCGGCCCCAGCCAGTCCAATGTGGACTACCACGAGATCGGACGCTCCTTCGCCACGCTAATGTCTGAAAAGGTTCATGTTTCAACGCCTGCGGACTCAGTTTAAGACATAACTCTCTGCCCAACTGTTAGCATTGAAGCTCGTAAGGTTTGCATTCTGAATTGAGTAAGTCAGTGTTGGTCAACATGCTAGTTATAGCGCACATACTAATGGTAGCAGTGAACTAACATTAGCATTTTAGCTAGTTTTGACATTAAGGCTAAACTTATGATGATACTAAATGGAGTAAATCAATGTTAGTCAACATGCTAGTGACGGCACACATGCTGTTCATAGCATTGTAGCTTCATGGATGCAGAGCAGCGGAGAGAGGAGGGGGAAAGTCAAACCATCCATCGGCCAACATTCAGATCCCCTACTCCAGCATCTTTCTAACCAAACGGCCACATAGAGAAGCTGCAAAAGCAAAGGAGGTGGATTAGCAGTGCTTACCAAAAACCGATGGTCATCCAGGACATGTTGCTGTTAATATTGTCTCATTACTGTCCGGTCCGGTTCTGTTTGGTTGCAGAACTTCCATGAGGTGGCGTACTTCGCAGACGACAGGCAGGACCTCCTGAACGGCATCAACGAGTTCCTGGACTGCAGCATCGTCATCCCGCCGTCGGACGTGGAGGGCAAAGACCTGCTGAAGACGGTGGCCGACTTCCAGAAGCAGCTGCTGCGCAAGAGGAGGGAGCGAGAAGGCAAGAAGCTCCAGACCGCCTACGGAGTGGAGCAGGACAGCAAAGGTACCGGGCCAGAACCCGCAGCAAGCACTGCGCTTTAATTCCTCACTTAGTTGTTTACTTTTTCATTTTTTACATCCTTATTTTTGTTCCCCGTTTGCTCATTTATTTTTTATTTTCAGATTTATCATTTATTTACTCTTTTCATTATTTTCTTTATTTAAAATGTTTCTATTTGTTAGTTTTGATTCTCTTCCTATTTTTCCCCCTTTTCAACTTTATTTCCTCATTTATGTATCAACTGTTTTATTTCCTTATCAAGTGCCTAAAAGGCCCCCGCACCACAGCTTGAACCCCGCTGACCTGTATCTTTCTCCCTGCAGCCGAGGCGAGTCCAGAGGAAGAGGAGGAGGCGGAACAGGAAGTGGACCCTCTGAAGCGCTCAGGCGTCCCGTTCGGGGGCCTGATCCACGACATGCGGCGCCGCTACCCGCAGTACGTCAGCGACCTGCGGGACGCCCTGGACACGCAGTGCGTCGCCGCCGTCATCTTCATCTACTTCGCCGCGCTGTCGCCCACCATCACGTTCGGAGGCCTGCTGGGTAATCCGCGTCGCCATAGCATCCACGCCGCTGACGCTCCGCCGCTGACGCTCCTCTGCTCTGACTCTCGTTCCAGGGGAGAAAACCGAAGGCCTGATGGGCGTGACCGAGCTCATCGTTTCCACGGCAACACTGGGAGTTATCTTCTCCCTGCTGGCAGGTCAGCCGCTCCTCATCATCGGTTTCTCCGGACCGCTGCTGGTGTTCGAAGAGGCTTTCTACAAGGTGACCAGCCAGCCAACAGGGTTAGGACTTGTTGGCGCCCATTAGCATCAGTTAGCATCAGTTAGGGTAGTTTATTCTTGGTTAGCATCAGTTAGGGTAGTTTATTCTTGGTTAGCATCAGTTAGCTTTGGTTAGCTCGCTAACTCCTTGTCTGTCTCAGTTCTGTCAGGCGCATGACTTTGAGTACCTGACCGGCCGCGTCTGGATCGGCTTCTGGCTCATCTTCATCGTCCTGGTGATCGTGGCGGCAGAGGGAAGTTTCCTGGTCCGCTACATCTCGCCGTTCACCCAGGAGATCTTTGCCTTCCTCATTTCTCTCATCTTCATCTACGAAACCTTCTCCAAGCTCATCAAGGTCACAGATTTGTACTTTTAACACTTTCTTGGAGTGAGACAGATAATCTGCCTTCTCTCAGTGCTAACTAGAAATAACCTTGCAAGCTAGGCTAGCATTCAAGATTATTTCAAATAACCTTGAATGCTAGCAACCAATGAGGGTAGCATAGGGTCATTGGTCGCTATGCTGCTTAGCATAGCGACCAATGACGGCAGATAAATGATTTTCCAGTAACTAAGTTGTTTCTCCACAATTAGCACATCTAATAGCGAGTACATGAGGATGATTGACAGCGCTAAGCCCCTCCTCCTGGCTCTTATTGTTTGTCTTTGTTGCATTTCTTCAGACGGCGATGGCAGCTCAGGGAGAAGATCGATCTTTTCACATATTATGTCCTGACGCCAAACTTTGTTTTCAGCGAAGCTGAACAGTTAAACGATGAATATCTTCCCCTTATTAAGCTAACCCCTCTCAGTGCGGCTAACGGTCGTAGCATCTTCTTGCTTCCAGGTGTTTAAGGAGCATCCGCTGATGACGGTTTACCCGTCGGACTCCACCGTGGATGTGGACAGTCCGGTCCTCAACCAGCCCAACACGGCCCTCCTGTCCCTGGTGCTCATGATAGGAACCTTCTTCGTTGCTTTTTTTCTCAGGAAGTTCAGAAACAGTCGCTTTCTGGGCGGCAAGGTAACAGTTTTCACCTCTTACCGGGTTTATGCTAACATGTTAGCATCACATTATGCGTTTTTGCGGCATCCTTTTAATGTACATGCATATTTTATAAATAATGGGAAAGTGAAGATTCTTGAGATTCCAACGACGCATGCCGATCAAAAATAAACTCTGTAAACACTTTTATCAAACCACTGAGAAATATGAAATGATGTCCAACCCTCTGTTTGAAGCCTCGATACCATGTTGGTGTAGCATTTAGCATTAGCTTCCTCTACATACCATGTTGGTGTAGCATTTAGCATTAGCTTCCTCTACATACCATGTTGGTGTAGCATTTAGCATGTGTGAAACTAATTTTATGATTAGCGCTCTAGGGTTAGCACATCTAACTCTTTAGTTGGCGGTGCCCACTATTGGTTGGACTGTAAAATGTATAGTAGAATGAAATGGCGTATAGTAGCATGTATTAAAATAAAATGACCAAATGCCATCAGTGGAAACGAGGGATCCTCCTCCTCACTCAGTTGAGATTAGGATCTTCTTAACGGTTTTAGCTGCCATAATCCTGGTTAATTTGCTGTTTTTTGACGTTTTCTCACGTTTCTTTCTCAGGCTAGAAGAATTATCGGCGACTTTGGGATTCCCATCTCCATCCTGCTGTCCGTACTGGTGGACATCTCCATTCCTGACACCTACACTCAGGTGAGCTCAGGCCGTGGCGTCCGTCACATCGACATTACGGAGGTCTCATCTCTTTCCGTTTGTCTTCCAGAAACTCAACGTGCCGTCTGGGTTTTCCGTCACATCTCCCGACAAGAGAGGCTGGCTCATCAGTCCGTTCGGAGACAAGCAGCCGTTCCCAACATGGATGATGGGAGCGTCCATCGTTCCCGCTCTCCTCGTCTTCATCCTCATCTTTATGGAAACGCAGATCACCTCGTGCGTCTCCCCGGCGACACACCAGGATGTTTACGGAGATAGAAAACTCAGAATGTTGATATTAATCTCATGTATTTAAAGCAGTGGTCCCCAAACTTTTTCCTGTGAGGGCCACATAACTTTTCCCTTTTCTGGTGGGGGGCCGGA